TCTACTATTGCTACTGTGCTTACATTTGGCAGTAAGTATGCTTTTATGGTTCTCCACACTAAGAGAGCACCAAAGTTCCAGATTTGAAATATCCAGTGAGCCTCACCCCCAGACACTTTAGCTTTATCTTCATAATTATGTGTCCTTTCTTATCTTGTGTATGTACAGACTTGGTCCAGACCCCTCATCATTTTACAGAATATATGTGCTCTGTTTTTACCCTGTGGGGATTTTAAGAGAGGCAGAGCGCTTACAGTCGAGTACACTCTTCTTTTTGACTTGGCTCTAATTAATGAACGGTCTTCTACTGCACACTGCACTGCTTGCAACAGTACTACACACTGATTCCTGCTTACTTAGTACATTAAGTAAGTATAGAGGCTTTTATCAATCAATCAACCTTTATTTAATCTCTGAGAATATTGAGGGTGACCCTCATTTACAATGTTGTCCAGTAGATACAGAGCAAGGGACTGATAATGTTTAAGAACATATATTATAAATTTAATAAATAAAAAAAGACTCAAATCAAATAAAAAAAATACATAAAATAGTAAACAATAATTAAAACATAGCTAAAATGTAAAGGTTAATAAAATAAGATCAAATCAAAATAAAATAAGAGGAGAATAACATCAAAAAGTAAACAAAAAATGTATTAAAATGACTAAAATAATAAAATAATCATAATTAAAATTAGAATAAGAATACAAATAATAATAAATAAACTAACAAATAAATAATAAAATAATGAAAATAAGATAATAATGGTAAAAAATCAGGTAAATCAGTTGCAGGCACAGTGGAGGTGGTTAGAGAGTAAAAGTTTAAAATGACCGAGTGACCCAGCGAGCTGACCTTGTTTCCTGTAGTGAGGGTCCAGCTCGCTGGTGCTCTGTAACTAAAAGAAGATTTTCCCAGTTCAGTAAAAACCCTCGGTACCTGGCATGTGATCCAACCACTGGAGCGAGTCTGATAAATACCATTATTTACAGACATCATTATAATATATTCTGGCATATGGCCGGAGAGTGTTTTATAAATAAAAATAAACCAGTGTGTTTCCTGCCGTGTTGCTAGTGAGGGCCAACCAACTTTTTCATACAGTCTGCAGTGATGAGTGTTACAAGGGTCTCCAGTAATGGACAAATAACATCACTACTAGTTGCCCCACAACCTCTAAACATTTGATGTTTGATGATGAGCATCTCATATTTTGTTCTCATGAAAACATACATATTTCAATACAGTTCATGTTACATGAGCAAAGTATAACATTCACATATTTCCTGTTATTGAGAAAATTCATCTTCTTATAATCATGAAGCTTCCAGAGAGTTTGTAGTGAGGAGAACTGACGCTTAATGATGTCTTCCTGGTTGGTCAGACACTAGAGGCTGCTGCTGAGAGAAGTAAAAATGAATGAGTTCTTATGGAGTTTTGGTGCAAAATTATAGTTAATCCTTCATATGAGTGAGTGTGAGTAACTGTATTCAGCCAATGATCTTATCAGCTTACCAACCAATCAGGATTCAGTAGCAGTCATTTTTGTACAATGGCAGGAATATGAAGTGGCCAGGCTCCATTTAAATTGGCCACTTGTGATCTTGTTCACTGGTGTGCGTGTTGTGTGTTTCCCACGCAAAAGCACAACGAGCAAGACCACACTAAACGCACCCTTTCCTGAAAACCGCATCAAAGTGGGGTTGGCCTAAGTAAACACCAATCATGCCTAACATTATGTCCTTGTTTCTACGCTCATTGTCCATTTTATCAGCTCCACTTACTATATAGGTGCACTTTGTAGTTCTACAATTACAGACTGTAGTCCATCTGTTTCTCTGCATACTTTGTTAGCCCCCTTTTACCCTGTTCTTCAGTGGTCAGGACCCCCATGGACCCTCACAGAGCAGGTACTATTTGGGTGGTGGATCATTCTCAGCACTGCTGTAACACTGACGTGGTGGTGATATGTTAGTGTGTGTTGTGCTGGTACGAGTGGATCAGACACAGCAGTGCTGCTGGAGTTTTTAAACACTGTGTCTACTCACTGTCCACTCTATTAGACACTCCTACCTTGTCAGTCCACCTTGTAGATGTAAAGTCAGAGACGATAGCTCATCTGCTGCTGCACAGTTTGTGTTGGTCATCCTCTAGTCCTTCATCAGTGGTCACAGGACGCTGTTGGCTGGATATTTTTGGTTGGTGGACTATTCTCAGTCCAGCAGTGACACTGAGGTGTTTAAAAACTCCAGCAGCACTGCTGTGTCTGATCCACTCAGACCAGCGCAACACACACTAACACACCACCACCACGTCAGTGTTACTGCAGTGCTGAGAATGATCCACCACCCAAATAGTACCTGCTCTGTGAGGGTCCATGGGGGTCCTGACCACTGAAGAACAGGGTAAAAGGGGGCTAACAAAGTATGTAGAGAAACAGATGGACTACAGTCTGTAACTGTAGAACTACAAAGTGCACCTTTATAGTAAATGGAGCTGATAAAATGGACAATGAGTGTAGAAACAAGGAGGTGGTCATAATGTTATGCCTGATCTGTGTATATCCCACAGTTCAACACAATTGTGACGTTCTGTGACACGTACACAGTCTTACGTACAATATTTAAAAACTCTACACACCTAAAAAGCTGGTTCTTCAAGTGTTCTTTAGCAAAGAAAATGGTTCTATACAGAACCATGACCACTCAAAAAACTCTTTGCAATTATTAAAGTGTTATTTGCATCGCAAAATGGTTCTTCAGATTGTTGGAGAATGTGCTACAGATGGTTTTATATAGAACCTTTTTGAAAAGGGTTCTAAACAGCACCAAAAACAGTTCTTCTAGTGTTACAATGACAAGCTTGTTACAATAGAAGAACCCTGCTATGTAGAACCCTTTTCAAAAAGGTTCTATATAGAAACATCTGTAGCACATTCTTCATTAATCTGAAGAACTCGTACATAATACAAAGAACCATTTACACAAGCAAAAGGTTCTTTAGTAAAGAAATGGTTCTATATAGAACTATGAACACTCAAAGAACCCTTTGCATAATTAAATGTGTCATGTCTCCCCCTCTGACTTGGACTCTCCCTGGATCCGCCCACTCTCCCCCTCTCCCACACACCTGCAGCTCCTCTTGGACTCATTAAGACTGTATTCACCCCTTTGTTTCCTCTGTGTGTTTGTGTGGTCTTTGTGTTCTTTATCTGAGTTCTAAGCCTGTTTCTTGTGTTCTCTGGTTTTGACCCCTGCTAGTCTCTCTTACCCTGCCTGTCTGTGTGTCGACCCCTGCCTGCTACGACAGTGAGTATCAGAACGTCCCTAATAAAGTCACTTTGCACTTGCCTCAGCCCCTACATTACATAATGGTTCCTTGCATCATGAAAGGGTTCTTTAGATTGATGGAAAATGTGCATGAATGTGCTGTAGATGGTTCTATATAGAACCATTTTCCAAACGGTGCTCTCTAAAACCATCTACAGCACATTTTCCATCAGTCTGAAGAGCCCTTTCATGATGCAAAGAAACCTTTAATTATGCAAAGGGTTCATTGAGTGTTCATGGTTCTACATAAACCCATTTTTTCTTTACTGAAGAACCCTTGAAGCACCAGTGTTTTTAATGTTAAATCAGTCCAGACAGCTTAATATTACTACTTACACCCGATCAGGTGAATTAGGCTATCAAAATGTCCTACATTCTTAAAAAATATGGTTCTCCAAGGGTTCTTTAGTAAAGAAAGTGGTGCTATATAAAACCATGAACTCAATGAGCCCTTCGCATAATTCGATGGTTCCTTGCATCATGAAGGCGTTCTTCAGATTGCTGAAAAAATTTACATAAATATGCTGAAGATGGTTCTATATAGAACCTTTTTGAAAAATGTTCTATATAGCACCCAAAGGGTTCTTCTATTATTACAAACTTGTCAATGTAACAATAGAATAAGCTTTTTTGGGTGCTGTATAGAACCATGTTCAAAAAGGAGCTATATAGAACTGTCTACAGCACATTATCCATCAGTCTGAAGAACCCTTTTATGATGCAAAGAACCCTTTGATCATGCAAAGGGTTCTCTGAGTGTCCATAGAACCATTTTCTTTACTAAAGAATCTTTGAAGAAGCATCTTTTTTAGGAGTGTCCCGAACATACGCAAATCATTAGTACAGCGTAGGAACTTTGTGTGTCAAACAATTTATCGTGTTTTTAATGTTAATTCAGTCTAAACTCAGCAAAAAGATGTTTTTTCAAGGGTTCTTCAGTAAAGGCAATGGTTCTATATAGAACCATGAACACTCCTTGTCTTTCAAGCTTGTGATAATAGCAGAAACCTTTTTGGTGCTATATAGAACCACATTCAAAAAGGTTCCATACAGAACCATATGCAGCACATTCCCGTTTAAATCTGAAGAACCACTTCACCACACAAAGAACCATTTAAGCCTAAAATGGTTCTACGTACAACTCATGGTTCTATATGGATCCTTTTTGAAAATGGTTCTATATAGCACCAAATAGGTTCTGCTGTTGTTACCGCTATTGCCATGATGTCAAGCTTGTACAATAGCAGAACCGTTTTTGGTGCTATATAGAACCACTTTCAAAAAGGTTCCATATAGAACCGTATACAACACATTCCCCAACAATCTTGAAGAACCACTTCACCATGTAAATAACCATTTAAGCATCACATGGTTCTACATAGAACTCATGGTTCTAAACAGGACCATTTCCTTTACTAAAGAACCTTTGGAGAACCATCTTTTTAATAGTGTTCCTGTAGTTTTAACACTGGTAGCATTTTCACACGGTCAAAATATCAAACCTACAGTTTATGTAGGGCGCTACGGTAGGACGCGCGTGCGCGAGCTCGGCCTCTTTTGGCGCGCCCCCTCGTGACGCGCAGGAATGAGAGAGAGAGAGAGAGAGAGAGAGAGAGAGAGAAAAAGAAAGAGAGAGAGAGTCAGTCACAGCAGCAGCGAGCAGCACCAGTGGCGGCAGCAGCGTCACCGCCTCTGTGTCTTCTCCTCTCCGTGTCTCGCGCTGCCAGTCTCTCTCTCCCTCCTCCTCCTCCTCCTCTTCCTCTCCTCCCTCCCTCCCTCAGTCCGCTTCAGATTGAGATTTAACAGCGCCTCGGATCTTCAGCTGCCTCCGCCATCGCTCGACAGGGCGCGAGGACAACCCGGCGTTTTCAAACGCACCCCCCCACAGCGGCGCGAGCCCCTCAGAAACGCCACGCTTCTCCTTCTCTTCTTCTTCCTCCTCGTCCTCCCGTCCATCTCTACTCTCTCTCTCTCTCTCTCTCACTCACACTCTCCCTCTCTCTGCCACTTCCTTGCATTTTTAATGGAAAATGGCGATCCGCGCGCCGTCCTCGAGCGTCTTCTGCCTCGTCTGTGCGCAGACGGCGCTTCTCCTCCTCGCGCTGTCCTCGCCCGGAGCTGCCATCCTCCGCTTCCCGCAGCACTACACGTAAGTAGCCGGACGCTACGAGTAGCTACGAGAGATGCGCGAGGCGTGCGGCGTTCGGGGGGTCTGACCGCGGTGGGCACTCGGCGCTGACACACGTCAGTGCCCTAGTTTGGCTTGGAAGCAGAGGTGGGGGGCTCTTTAAAGGGGCTGTTTACGCACAGGTAGCCCCTTCAGTTTAGCCAGGAGCTCGGGGCGCTTTAATTATTGATCGGAGGCGAGAATGGCACGAGCGCGTTTCCCCGTGTTGATGGGGCATGCGTGGTAGGTAGAGGGGCTGCTACTTTCTGTGTTTGGTGGAAGGGGAAGTGCGAGGGAGAGCTGACGCAGGGCGCTTTGCTGACCCCCCCCCCCAAAAGCTGGCCTGGGTGAGTGGGGTGGAGGGGGGACCATATGGGCTTTTGGCTGTGGAGGAGGTGAAGTTTCCCTGTGATTAAAGCTGCATGAGGCTGTTGTTGATGCACCCTGAGCTGCACCTGTCGGAGTGACCTCTGATGCTTTTGCTCTCAGCTGTGTCTGATTAGAGCCTGGTGTAAGCAATGAGCTGCTTGTGGGGGGGGGCATTTCTTCCCCTTCACTAGAAATCCATCATAATCCATAATTTATGGTATTATTATTAATAATAATAATAATAATAATAATAATAATAATCATAATAAAAGTACTGCATGTGCTAGGCCAAACACTTTCCACGTAGACTAATAGAGAAATAGACTGCTTGTCAGATTTGACTGACATTTCTGAAAGTTTTCTGACTAAGGTGAGAGAGCCTGGTTGGGGCGTCCGAGCTCCGAGTGCTGGTTTACTGCCAGAGTGCTGCTGGTGTCCTTTCAGAGAAGCCCACACACACACACACACACACCAGTTCTGTGTGGATTAAGTCAATCTCTCCAACTGTATCACATTATATCGTTTTGCTGCTGTTTATGTAAGGCTTTATATAATAGAAGATGGAGTTCTGTGAGAGATATCGGAGCATCTCTAGCTGTGAGAGGAGCTATATAATATAACATAATACGGGAGTGGATACTGTTAGTCTTTGAAGAACACTGACCAGCTGCATGATGACAAAGAGCGCGTAATTAGCCATGTTTAATTGATTTAGTGTAGCACATCATATAAAGTGTTAAATGAAAACCATTGTATTCATAGTTTTTGATAGTATTTTTAATTAAAATGCTTCTTGATTCTCTGTTCCAAGGCATAAAACCTCAGAAAAACATATTGCTTGTCTTCCATGAATGAGACATTTGTTATATTTGTGGAATATCACTCACCCACAATGTAATGTAATACAGTGTAATATAATGTAATGTAATATGAGGGTGGGCAATGTGGCAGTAAATGTCATTGTCATGATAAATTGCGTCAGATTTTCTGAGCATATTGTGGATATCGTCAGCACTTAAAGAACACTGGACTGAAATGACACTGCATATTTTTTATAAAGAGAGCATAATTAGCCCTGTTTACGTTACATAAATACAAATGAAACCATTGCGATAATAATTTTTGTCTGATCCAACATAAACCTCTCAAAAACAAAATATCATGATGCACATTCTGTATCATGAAAATGATGTTTTTGTGATGTTATATTTGTGGCATATTGACCTCCGCTGAATAATATAATTAATATAATATGCTGTTGCTTTTGTCACAAAACCTTTTATCACTGAAATAATAACTTTATAGGTCAAAAGAGAAAAAAAATTACAAGATTTTGTTACAATATTAAAATCTTACAATGTAAGAAGGTTTTATTTCATGCTATTTTTAAAATTTTGTCACAGAATGAGCTCATAATTTGTCCACACTTCTGTTCATTGGACACTCTAACTTTGCAACTTTGTTACTGCTCGCAGCCTTTTGTCTTTGTGTTGCTAAACATTTTCCACCTGTGGGCAAAGTGTAACTCAGAGATTTTACCTCCCTAATTTCTCCCAATTCATAGCAATGACACGCCTTCACCTTTACCAGCATCGTGGCCATCGACCCTCACTTTAAACACTTCAGAAGTCAACAAGGAGAAGCTGACTGTCGTGATGATATTCCTTTAAGCGAAGGAGGCTGAGGATCCTTGTGCAGGCAGCTGATGTGTGTGTGTGTGTGTGTTTCTGCTGGCTGTAGTGAGGCCTGCTCTCAGCTCGAATTACACAACTCTTTGATCGCTGGATCTTTCCCCCCTCAAACAAAGCCAGATCATATGCCAAGCGTTGCCATTATTGACATTCGGGTTTATTTACAAGACTCGTTGTGGGAAATAAAACGTAGGTAAAGTCCACAACACTTAGCGTCTTCAAACTGATCTGCGTCCAGCCCCGTCCTGTATCCAGCGAGCAATAGCGAGGAATCGTTTTTCAGTCTCTAGCCCATCTGGGCCTGACAGAAAATGAAAATGGGTGGCTACCCCGTTGTTCTGTAAATGTCAAAGCCTTGGTATAAAAATCCCTTTGATGTAGGGCAGGCTTTGAGATACAGGCTTATCTTTTCGACAGGGCGTGTGTAGGTCAGGCTGAATTCTCTCCTCTGAGAACATCATTTAAGGCCATTTTGTGTTACAACTCCGCTCCGCACCGTGCCGCGTAGAGGCGGGGTCCGGGAGGGTCTTTGCCGGGAGCGATCAGCAGGGGTCACACGTGGTGGCTACTGGTTAATGACTCGGCAGTTAAATAATTAATTAGGCCAGGAAATCAACACTCAAACCAGCTGACTAGTAAATGACGACATTTAAGACACTAAGTGTTTGTGATGTCATTGTGGAGCAGCAGTGAGGATGCAGGGAGTGAGAATGCAAGTTTTTAGATACAGTTGCTCATATCCTGTCAGCAGAGTCCGCTACATTAAGCTAACTGATTTTTTTGGGACGTTTTGGTGATGAATAGGCTTTTGCACTTAACTGTGCCTTTTCCCGTGTGATCACTCACGCTGATAAGCCCTCTGACGGTGATGCATCAGGCTGCTAACCCCTGGGATTCGGCTTTTGAAAAGGGTGGAAGAGCTTATCTGAACATTGGATTATATATGAATTGTGCATAGAGGTGGCACCGATCTGACACCAGGATATCGGATATTGGAGTGAAAAACAATTAATCCAATCTAAATCCGTAACAAATCAAGTACTTCAATTAACAATAGTACGTTTTTAAAGAAAAGTGCTGAAATTAAATTAACATTTCTTTTTGCAGCGGAAGAGAATGATGGGTGCTGAAGTGGTATCGCTGCCTGTGGTGCTAAAACAGACTCATCTTGTCATCACGTAAAGGTTTTGTTGGTTATTAGAGATAGCGATGAAATCAGATCACATTGGTATCGGCAGATAATTGGTTTAAAATAATATTGGCATCAAACTGATGCTTAAATTTGACTTCTGAGATATAACGTAAAAAAAATTACTTAAAGTAAGTAATCTTGCTACAATACAATTAGTCCATTGAATGTCTACTTGTAAGTTACTGGAACATAAACAGACTTCTAATAGGAAGTTGACAGAACAGAAGTCTGTATCTTATTATTTGACGTTCAAGGAACAGTTAAAGTTAAGACACAGTTTTTTCATGATTATTTAAGTGCACTCTGAAAATGATGCAAATGTATGCCTTAAAAAAGTAAGTAATTTGGCTGACCTAAAACTTTGAGTTCATTGAAATTCAAATAATTTAAGTTAACAAATGTTAAATGCAAATTATTGTTCTGTTAATGTACTATTAGGCATTTATTGAACACTTAATTAATTTTTAAGTCTACTAGGTTATTTGCTTTTTTTAAGTTAAAAAGTTGCATCATATTTTAGAGTGTGCATTTTATGAATTCTTTGTGCGTTTCACATTTGTAATGCTCTGCACATAAATGGTACATTTCTTTAATGCTAATTCAGGAAGGCCTACTCCAGTTTTTACATTAAATGTATTTGTACACTGTAAAAAATGGCTCATCAGATCAACCTAAAAAAAATACTTCGTGGTAACAAACAATTGAACTTGTTTTATTCAACTCAATAAATACAATGATTGAAAGAATCATTCATTCGAAGTGTTTATTTAGGTTGAATAAAAGAGTTCATTTACTTGTTACCACGCAAAGTCATTTTTTTTAGGTTGAACTTACAAGCCATTTTTTACAGTGTGTGGCAACAACATCTGCATCAACAGATGTGCAACACTGTGCAAAAGTTTTAGGTACCCAAGAAAATTATTTTTAAAAATAAGAACTGGGTGGTAATTGTTTGATTTGCTACAGAATAAATACAAATAATATTAATACAGTAAAGTAGTGATTTTACATTTGTCACACTGTAAAAATGGCTCATCAGATTAAGATAAACCGATTACTTCATGTGGTAACAAGTAAATTAACTCGTTTTATTCAACATAAACACTTTGAATAAATGATTTTTTCAGTTAATGCAGTTTTTTGAGTTAAATAAAACTAGTTCAATTGCTTGTTGCTATATGAAGTCAGTTAATCTGACGAGACTTTTTTTTACACTGCAGTGTGTTCGTTTGCTCAGCCAATCAGAACAGAGCTTGTGTTACAAAAACAGCTGGTTTGATTTTGACATAAAGAGAGGTTGGGAAATGGACCCACATAAACCCACAAACGTTGTAAGACAAGCTCAGAGGATATAAATAAAATACAAGAAAAATGTGTGACTTTTAATATAAGCACCGATCCAACACTAGGTTTTGGTCTCGGGCCAGTGTCAGCAGAATCAGCAGATGCATGATAGCCTACTTTTAGATATGCATTTTGAGTGAAGTGATATGATTAAAAATAGCAAAAAATATCGCAAAAGTATCGGTATCAGCCGACACTCAAGGTTGTAGTATTGGTTATGAGTGTTGGAAAAAAAAGGTGTTCCATCTGTGCTTAAAACTGTGATGTTATTGAACTTCAGATAATAAGTCGACTGAATGTAACATTCAATTAATTTATTTTAAGTCGATTATTTAAGTTTTTAAAGTTAAAGCAACAAATCTATGTAAACTGCTGCTGCATATCAA